GTATGAACAGTACAACCATTTGAACTGGCTAGACAAAGCACAGTCAGGGGAAAGACTGCCTTACAAAGTTCCCTATTGACAATCCTATTTCCTGTGGACGACTCCCTGCCTGACATGTAAAAGTTAAATAACATAAACCGCTAAATAGCGCCTATTGATTTGTTGTAAGTAGGCAGGACAATTAGCATGTATCTCACTAACCTGAAAGCCCGGAGGACCCATTCGGCCTGGTTGGCCGCGCTTACCCGGAACGCCCTGGTCACCATCGGGACCGCGTACTCCCGGGTAACCGTCAGGGCCCTCCTCACCATCATCCCCACTGTCGCCTCGGAATCCCGGTTCGCCATCCCCACATGCTGGACAGGGGGGTGCTGCCAAGCCTGAGTGAGTAAAGAAAATAGGGATGATAACATTTATTTGCTTAAACAAGTTGGTGCAGGGAATGATCTATGGCTGATCGCTGATACATCGGAGACGGTCATTCTGTCTTGCGCTTTCTAGAAGCTCTCGTTAAACTTTATCTATAGTTACAGAAATAGGGTTACCCCGTAGATAGTGATTCGAAAAAAAATTGCTTAAGTGTGGTTGCAGGACTGATTATCATACAGTCTAATCTCAAAATACTGGAATCCCTTCAGGATGCCGGCTTTTGAATGAGCATATCACTGGCCACCTGAAAAAAATATACTCTGTAAACAGTGGCCACTTAAGTAGTATGCATTCTTCGCATTAGTATTTGCAGCTCTGAAATATTTAAATTTTTTATTTTGTAGAAAACATGCTTAAAACCCTCCTTTCTTGTATTTATTTGGTAGAAAATTACGCCTTCTTCAAATTTTATATTTGATGAAAAGATACCTTTCTGTTTCAAATTTTTTCCAGAACATGAGTTCCTTTACGACCGCGAAAGCTGCATTCATATAGCAACGTGCCTTTCTATTTATTAATGTTGCTTATAAATTACACAACTTTATCCACTTCCATTCCAAAAATGTGAATTCTTCACGCCGTAGGAAAATATTTATATTTTCTCAGAGAGAATTTGGCAATATATAAACTTCTTTAAACCAAAAGATACCCTTCCTTCAAACATGTAATTCAAAGAAGGTGACGGTTGCTACCAGACGAACAAAAGAAAGAATATGTTTGCGTATGTGTTCGATAAATGATATTTGAATTTATAACAGCTGTGAAAATCAATGAAAAAATACATACTTATTCAAGTAGTAATTTTTTACAGAATAAACTTTTCACAGGAGAAGCTCATTCAACAGATGCCATCCTGATTTGGCTGAAATAGGTTGAGGTTCGGCTGTATGATAGTCGATCTTCCAAGTATACCTAAGCATTTCATGATATAAGGAATTTACTTTAACAGTCTTCTCCTTACTACAGGTTGACTTGCGCCTAAAGCTAGGGGGTAAGTATATATTAACTCAGATATATACCAACTGAGGGAATATATACCAGGTCTGCAGTGACAGAGGATGGCACGTGGCGAGAAATCGATGAACTGTGGTTCGATGAAGTGCTTATCACCCATCTGGTGGACCCCACCAGTGGACCATCTGGGCCATCTGTGAGTGCGCATGTTTGTTTTGTACGACCCAGCTGGCGGTCAGGGTGATGCTTGGCTGAATGAAGGCAAATAAGCCCGAAACAGGTCTGTATCAAGTGACCCCTGTGTATACTTTTGCATTTCTTGACAAACCTCCAGCATTTAAAACTATTCAAAGGCATCTCCTCCTTATGAAAACTTCTGCATGAGGCTCGCCCGGCTGTTCTGTCTTTTGGCTTGAGGACTATTTCACTTGCCATAATGAAGTCGTGCAATGTGGCAAACGAAAATCCACCGTCCTTCGAAAGAATTGTCACTATTAATGTGGTACTTACAAAATGTAAGTAGCATTGTTTTTAACCAAACGTCGGGGTTGACGTGGTGATTAGTTCGGGTTCAGATTGTAAAGTCAGGTCAAGTTTATTAAGAGAAATATAAAGACAAACGCCTTTGAACTCCCTATTGGTGCATT